GCCACGGCACGCGGCGGTGCGGCGGTGGCGTGGTGGTGGGATTGTGGAAATTTGAAACGGTCCCACAGGGGCAGCTTCGACAACCACCCTTATTGTAGTGGTGGGGCGCACGGACTCCACTCTGCTTCCACAGACCCAAAAACCTGGAACAGGGTGGGTTTCTTTCTTTTTACCAGATGACACCTAAACCCTTAAACTAAATAGAAAGAATGTATAAGTTACATTTAGGAGTCAGCTAGTTTTTACTTGATAACGGCAAGAGAACTATCATCTCCTTTCAAGATCGATTCTTGATTTTCTTTCTTTCCTTCTCTCTTTCTTTCCTTATTTCTTTCTTTCCTTATTTCTTTCTTTCCTTATTTCTTTCTTTCCTTATTTCTTTCTTTCCTTATTTCTTTCTTTCCTTATTTCTTTCTTTTTCAACCCCCTCTTCCCCCCTGCAATTTTTCTTTTACGTGCGCGTTTGCCATAACCTGCTGCATGGCACACACGGACGTTTTTCGGGGATGGTCCCTCGGGTCTCCCCCCTCTCCATTCTCCTCTTGGGGTGGGAGTGGGGCAGATCCCCGTTTGACTGCTCTGCTGTGCCCCTGCGATAAGGATAAACTGACAAGTTCGTCATACAGCGTGACCCCTTTAACCCCCCCCCTCCCTGCCTTCTACATTTTTCCTCTCCTCTTCCACCGTTATCGGGCATGTCGGCCTGCTTCTGACCCCCTCTCGCTCCAGGTTTTCACCCTCTTGCATTTTTTTCCGGCATACCCCTCCTTCCGGATCTTCTCACTCCCCTTCTTCGTTCCCCCGCCCCCCTCCTGCCCCTGCTCTCCACCCCTCTCTTTGACGGGGCTGTTGTTTTTTCACGATGGGTGGGTAAGCAGGTCGAGGATCGACAGAATTATTATACTGAAGTGAAGAAATGAAAAATCAGAAAAATATTGTCAGCGTCTGCGTGGGGTGATTCCTTTGCATGCTTCTTACTTTCTTTTTCTTTACGATTCGGTACAGGAATTTAAGTATCAAAGTTTCCATTAATTATAAGGTTGACGTACGCTGGACCATATCCTGCGTAACAGGCTTCGCAATATCAAGAAAAACTCTGTAACGTTGCAACGCGCCTGTCGCACATACTTTGGCGGTGACATATGAGTTGGGCAAAAGAGGCACAATATATAAATAAGCTTATTTTTCGAGAGATGTTCACATCATTTTCTCGAGAGAGTTCCGTCTTTTTACGATTTTACGCGACCCTAAAAATTTCAGGTCCCCAGCTCAATCCATTGTCGAGTTATCGTGTCGACAGACGCGAAACTTGTTGGCCACACACAGGCTTCCCCATTGCTCAGCCTAAAAGCAAATTTAAAAGAAAAAAAGTATTTTTAAAACAATACCAGGATGCAGGTAAAACACTTTTTATGTGGTGACCATTTCCTTACCGAAGGCGAAGGCGTTACATTTCATCTACTATGAATCCACCGGGACTTTTCATTCACCTGGAAAACATTTTCTCTGACTTAACTTTTGCTTTCCGCGTCAGCCGCTCCATCATAATCTCTTTATATCCACCGCCGCTGACCTATATTGTTGCGAAACGAATCTGAGCTGGGCGGGCGCAGCGTGTGGAATGGAAAGTCGCGGTGATAACCGATAATTGACTGCCATATGCGCGAAATACACACACACACATGCACCCACGCTCACAGACAGGCGCACACACACACATGCAGGCACGCACACGGACAGACGCACGCCCAAAGGGGCAAAATAATGCGTGTAATTACCTCTACTGGTGGGGCCGAAATTTGGCGCATTTATATGATATCGGACTGGCAATCGAATTGAAACGCCGTGCGCGATATGTTGATGGCGGGGTCCAGCACACACACACACATACACGCACTCACACACATACACTCACACCCACACACACACGGCGTCAGCTAGAGGGACGGTTCGTAGAGGGGATGCGAGGCTCTCCATTAATGGTACATCCGACGGCTCTGCCTCGTTACATATTTATGGCAGGCGATGGCCAGAGTACGTAGGATATAATTGAAATTGAAACCGATCGCCACTCCTCTACAGCCACTCCCTCTCTTCCCTCTCGCTCTCCATCCGGCACCTCCGCCTCTCGCAACGCAATGCGGCCACACAGAGTACTCACTGAAAATGCCAGTCAGATATCTTACTCTCAAGAGAGTGAGATCAGTGACACAAAAAATCTTACTCTTGAGAGCGAGATATCTGACTCTCACTCAATTTGAGTCATAATTTGCGGTCCTCGCCCAATGAGAGTGAGGTTCCTTACTCAATTGGGCGAGGTCAAGGGAAATCTTAGTCCTCCAGAATGAGAATTCGGTGCATATTACTCAAATAGGGTGAGCCTTATAGTCATCGCTCTGATTGAGCGAGGCAAAATTGCCTCACTCATTTCGATCAAGACACCTCACTCAAAGGTTGTCAGTGCTGTGGATAGCTTGGGTGCGCTAGTGATGCGGCACTGCTGGGTCGCGTTATATGGCATTCGGTGACTACACTGAAAACGCAAGTGTGACAATGTCGCACACTTGTAGGCGTGTGAATATCCATTCGTACACTTACGGGAAACGCGTGAAGTTTTTAGGTAAAATTCCCACGTTTTACTCCCTCAAGTGGATGAATGGATATTCACACACCTGCAAGTGTTTCGACCTGTATACACTTGCGTTTCCAGTGTGTTTGGTTTTTGACGTCCCCGTCCCGTCAGCCTGCCCACCAGAGTGCCGCGTCATCGTGCGCGTGGGCTTGTGTCTCGCGAAGAGGGAGCCCCGCGCTCGGCTGGCCGCGCTCTCTCATCAAATTGCCAACTTTGCCGCAACCAACGACCCCACGGCACCTCGCGAGACTCCCCTTCCTTTCTCTTTCTCCCCTGCCCTCCCTCCCCTCCTCCTTTCCCCCACTTAGCCCCGCCCGCCCCTCCTCGCTCCCCGCTCCTCGCCCTGCCCTCACTACTTACTTTCCAACCCCGGGGATCTACCCTCTCGCGGCAGGATATGGCCATTATAAGCAATTACTGACCTGCAGGGAAACTGGGGCGCCACCTCGCTCACCTCCACCGGCTCTCTCTACCCTACCTGTCCGTTCTATTCCCGTCTCTCTCTCTCTCTCTCTCTCTCTCTCTCTCTCTCTCTCTCTCTCTCTCTCCTTCTCTGTCTCTCAACTTGCCCCGCACATGCCTCCTTTCCCGACCAGTGTGTCAATCAAAGTTGTCCATGGACAACGTGACGGTGTACTTTTTATATACACACGCCTTTCAATAACCAACATACGAAAGACGGTAAAAAACGAATTTGTGTTTTACTTTGTTCTTTTGGTGAGCCTTTCCTCCTGGCGCGCGTCGAAGTTTGAGACACGCTCGCTGCCTCGCCCTCCCCTGTACGCCCGTCCGGGCCACCCCGGGCCAAACTTGTAACACTTAGCGACGCTATGGCTTCAGGTGAACGTGCGACTGTCGCTGGCTTCATGCCCCCCCCCCCCCCCCCTGGTGAGGCCTTCGGTTTGTTTATTGTTGTCCTAAAGGGAAAAGGGAAAAATATATAAAATTTTCCTGCGTCGAAAATTAATTATGCTATTCTTCGTAAAACGAAAGAATTGTCTTTTTTAAGCAATAAAGCGCACACGACCACAATTTTGAGACACTATTCTATACAGATATAATTAGCATAGCATTGCATAGTTACTAGTTGAATTATATTATGCGTCCATTCGTATTTCTCTGAGTAAAATAATATATTTGCAGAGTTATTTCGGTATTTTCCTGATGATATTTCATGAAATCAAGTTATCAAGTCAATTCTTTTTCCTTAAACGCGCAAATGCAAAAGTCGAGAATCGCAGAAATCTAGAAATTTATTCGCATTGTTTGAATTTCTATTCCGTCGATACATTCGCCACTTGATTTCTTCCGCATGCGCCACGCCTTGCCCTTTCATGTCCAAAAGCGGAACATTATCCGCGTCGAGCTGCCCCTCGCGCCGACAGCGGTGGAGTGTGGCGGCCCGTGCGGCGGGACTTTGTCGGAGTCTGACCTAGAAGTGCTATTATTGATGGGTGTTCATACATTGTGGACACCTGCAGGGCCCCCCCTCCGCGCTGTGTAGTGGGGAGGGGGCGGGGCGTGTGTTCGACAGCGCTCACGACGAATGGGTTCGGCGCGAAGAACCGCAACGGTGGCCGCCCCTCCTCCACGTGGGGTCGCTGCAAAGATGATGCTGAAAAGAGAGAGGGGGGAGCAGGGGGAGAGTGAGGTGGTGAGAGTGGCGAAAGGAAGAAAAGAGAAAGAGAGAGACACAGAGAGAAACGATCAAGCAGTGGAAAGAGGAGGATGTGAGAGGAAGGGGGACGGGGTTGCGCTGGGATGTGGTGGCAATGGTGGAACCCCAAGAGACACGCTCGGACACGATACTGTTGTTAGCGGTCTGCTACAACTTTTTCGATTAAATCTGATCAGAACATTATTGAATGAGAGAGAGAGAAAGAAAGGGGGAGGGGGCAGGGGAGTAGGTGGGATGGGAACCGAGCAGTAAAAGCGGCTGACAGAAAGAAAGTGACTCGCCATTTGGTACCCGATTAACACAGAATAACGTCAAGCCCAAGGCTTATTGTCTGTGGTGGATGGTGGATTGCCCGCCCGAAGCTGTTCCTCAAATATCGATTTTCATGGTTGCGCTCTTTAGAAAAAAATGCTGCAGCTGGCGGAAAAGGTGATCCCCTTTAATATATGGACCTTATAGGGAGGGTGGCCAGCCGCCAGAGCCATAGGGTGGGTAATACAATTGACTGCTAATATCAATACAAATGTTGTCGTAATCAGGGCAGACGTTGGCATTAGAGTGTCGTGTGTTATGATATAGTGAACTGTGAATTTTATCATAATAGCAATTATAATAATAGTGATAGTGTAAAAGTAGATAGTTTTTTGGATGGTGAATGTTTTACTCATGTGCGTTTTGTTCTGTTGCCAGCGACTTGATGGGGCTGCGCAGATGCTGAGTGGCCATGGCTCCTGCGGCCCCAGGATGTGGCAGGATTGCCGCGGTCCTGCTGGGCGTGGCGCTGGTCGCCGTCAATCTGTCGCAGGAGATGTCGGAGCTGGACAAGCCAAGTGAGTGTGCCTGCACTAAGTACGCGGTTCTGCCCTGTGTCGTTTCTAGCGCCGCGTCTGGTGCGCTGAAAGGGCGTGTCTCTCCGATTCGCTATTAGTCAGTGGACTCCCCGGACGTCCCGGACTCTGTTGGAACATAAATCTGTTAACTGCTTCTACCTCAGTCGGTTCATTAATACAGTAGCCCCATCCTGCACGGATACAGTTCTGTCATTTAGTAACAACGACTGGCATTGTCCCTTTGCAACGGTGGCTATCATCCAAACGGATAACGTCCTTCATTATTTCAATCAGTAATGCATTAAAAAATACCTTTCAGTGTTCCACCGTCGCACACCGAATCCTGCTGGAGTTCTCGGTGTTTCTGCTTATAAGACATATCTTTTCATAGAGATGAGTAAAGGAGTTTGACTTGGAACAAGAACGTACTTTTTGGGTGTAAGCTGTAATGCGCTAATGTCATCCCCTAATCTCCCGTGATAGGCGGCGGTGACAGCTTACGCCCGCCCCCGGGCCCGCCCCCGCCCTAACACGTACTCCACTCGTCGTAAATAACCGACCCGCCCCCTTCCAACCTCCCCATCGCGTGGTTTCTTGCGCCGTTTCTTTTACGGGCGCGGGCCATTTAAGTTGACGTTGATGCCGGTTCTCTCTTCCAAAGGCCGCGGCCGGGCTCGGGCTCGGGGGCTCGGACTGTGCGGCCGTGCTAATCGGGGGCAAAGGCTGCGGACCGCCCCCCGGCCCCACAGCCGGCCCCACGCCCCCCGGCCGCTCCCGCGTCGCACCCGCCCCTGCCCCACCACACGCCGCGGCCGCTCTTGTTGTGTGCCAGGGCCAGGGCGATAGGTCCGCGCTGCCGGGGGGCCCTCCTGCCCGCCCAGTCCGCCCTATGCCTTCCTGACCGTCCGGAATTCCAATCGCGGTCCTGACTCTCGATAAATAGCCTCGCGCCCCCTACTGCTGCGCCTCTCTCACCTCTCTTTTATCCTTTCTGCCGTGTGTCGTCTCTGTTCTTTTCTAGCTTTAGCATTCATACATAGGACACTGACACACTGGCCTAGGAAAAAAATAATTGTAACAGTAGTCTCGGCTAGTTCTCTGAGTCGTCATTCTTTGGTTCTAAAATTTGTGCTTTCCGCATATCTTATTGCTCAAATGTGTTGAGGTTGAGGTACAGTTTGGTGGTCACAGTTAAGGCGGTACACTGGCCTTAACGGAGGTTTTTCTGTATTCCATTTTTTGGGGGTTGCTTCTGTGCAAACTCAAGTTTGCGATGACAAGACCAAAAGGCTTCTTTTTTCCTTACTGATTGGTCTGCAGATAGAGGAGGTAAAAAGTGGCATGCTGCTCCACACTTCTTCTTTTCTCAAAAATGAGAAGTTTGATGCAGTTCTCCCCAACTCTCTTTATTTCTTGTCCCCTCACTCTTTCCTCCCCCTTTCTTTTCGTGCCTGCTCTTGCCGTAAGTAAAGTGGCCTGGCCCCGTCGCACCGTCGCCGCGGGGTTGGTGGTAAAACCAGTGCACTCTCTCCTGACGTGGTGCATCTTGGTCACTCTCTTATCGAATATCCACAATCGAAATAATTTCGTTGGCACTGGCAGAGGCGGGCAGAGAGGTCACGACGATGGTGGTTCAGTCTACGGCGTCCCGTCCGGAGCGGGTCGCGCGGCCCGCAGCCTCATCGGGTCCAGGGCTTTACGGCCAGTCTGTGCCGATTGAGTACCCGAAGGGATGAGAGCAGCGCAATCCGTGTTCGAGAGCGGGTTACAACCACCACCAGCGGGGCGTACGTACGTACTGCGAGCGACGGCGGTGGGGGAGCGGTGCGACGTGCACGTCCAGACGGGCGAGAGCTTCGCCCGCGGGCGCGCACGCCGGCGGCACGTTTGATCGCTCCCTCCTCTGACGGCGCGGCCTCCTCGACGCGCGCGACCCCGCTAATCGCTCGTGACACCCGGCGCGGGATGGGGCGGCGGCGGCGGCGGCGTCAACGCCAACGGGGGGCACTATCTGGCGAACCGATCGGGGCGGTGCGAAGCACGCCAACGGGCTCGTCCTCGCCCTCGCCGTGCCGCGACCAACGAGGACGGCAACGAGCACCAGCAGGGGAACGATACCTCCAGGGGATTCTTAGACACTTTCCTAAAGACTGTCTCTATACCAGAGGTCAAAAAGTCCCCTCGTCCTCCTCGCGATATAGCACAGAGCGGGCACTTGAGTATGTGTTTGCGGGCTGGCGGCCGCGTTTTTAGCAGATGACACACTCAAAATAGTTTTAATTTAATTTATACTAAAATACTAACATTTAAATGGTGTCTGAATGCTTGTATTTTCGTGTTTCGAGAAGGTGAATATTTATAGGGGGCGGAATGACTGGCATGTCGTGCCCCACCTAGTGGTGCCATGCGTGTAGCACCAGCCCACCAGCCCGACTATGTCCAACAATACCGGGCCTCCTGGGCCAGGGCCTGCCCCAGCTCTGCTCTCTTCCTCTTCCCTCATTTACGACGCTCGGTCACCGGATTGCAAGCCAAACATTTCTAAATATGAGAGAGAATTAGAACCTAGTTCTGAGATAAGTATATCGTGTGCTTTCAATCAATATTTTTCGGCATTTCCTGTTTGATTCCTACAAAGCAAATGCCTCGCAGAACTGCGACGTATTTGGATCCTTTATATCAACGCAGTATTTACTTTGCAATTACAATGTTATGTTTTGACAGTTACGAAGCAACGAATCACTCTGCAAAGCATTGCTTTGCAGAAATCTAACAGTGATTCAAGAAAAAATAAAAAATAATAATAATAACACTATAATGATGCTAGAAAATTCGTCAATAACAAAAACAAAACGTTTCCTGATGAGTATTTACTCCGTTTCGGCCTTGACATCCATCTCTGCCTATGGCATGACACACGCGAACCCTCTCTCCCCGGCTCGGCTCTGCTCGGCCCGGTCGCCGGATGAGGGCAGTGGCCGGGGGGCCGACATGTCGCAGCCGCAGCCGGGGCCGGGGCCGCGAGGGGGCGGCGAGGGGGGCGGCGTTGACGGCCCCGGCGGGGGCGAGCCAGGCCACTGAAGGGCAGGCGGGCTCGCTTCCGAATAGTACGCGCCATAATCTCGTCCGTCTCTGTCGCTCAGCCGGTGCGGCGACGGTGCAGAGAGAGAGAGAGAGAGAGAGAGAGAGAGAGAGAGAGAGAGATGGGGGATGAGGCATATTGTAGTGGCCCGGCCCGCCTGCTCCGCCCCCGGCGTGCTCTATCTGGCAGACGCCGTGTGAGGCTCTGGCGCCTCCGGCCGCCGCTGCACTGCCGGGAACTTCCCTCCCGCAGAGTTTGTGGGTGTG